TTCCAAAACACATGATCGACGGACTGTTAATATCTGGAAATCCTGATATGGAATGACTGTACCATCGGTGTGCAAGTGTGCAGGGATGAAATGAAAGAGTATTAGACGGGGAGGAAAAATGGAGCGAGAGGAAGAGGAGATGGAGTGACTGAGAGGCTTTCAGATGAGATGAAAAGCTGACAGCGTGTCCTTGTTGTGTAGTCGGGTCGTGGCGTTTGAGAGCAGTGGCTGGCAATCATCTTTTTCCTGGGAGAACTCTTGACATGATCGATGTAACTATTCTGATATCTGACATGTTCTAATGACAAACAGTATTTAACATTGAGCGGGTTGTTCTTTTTTTTTTTTTGTAAGCACGTGAAGTGCGAGCATGTACCTTATGTGCTCACCAGTTGTTTCTCATTGCCGACTACTATCTTGAATAATACTCAAAAGGGGGGCTTCACATGGAATAACACACAAGGAAATGTGGTTAAATGTGGACACAGTTAATCAGATTATTATTTCCTCCGGCTCGACTAAAGCCTGGAATTATTTGACGTTTGAAATGGCCCGAACACAAACAACATATAAAGTGATCATCTCTTCATAAATCCGGCCCGCCTCCAGCTGTTAGCCCAAACAGACGCCTCAAAGGGCAAAGCTATCATCATGCCACATCAGTAATGCTGAAACCTGTTCGGCCAGCCTGAAGGAATAGTTAATTTAGATGACAGATTCAAGTTAACGCTGGGAAGATTTGCTCTCCCCGAGTGGATATAAAATTCAGAGCATGACGCTCAACTCTTCGTGTGATTATTCAAGTGCCTTTGAGCTCATTCTTCAAACAGCAATTTTTTTTTTTGGTGGGGGTAACTTGGCTCTGGAAATGTAAAAACTCTAAAGATGTAAATTTGGTTGGAAAATGGATGACTTACGATGAACAATGTCCAAGACATTAAGGCGGCGTAGAGCAGGGGTAGGGAACTCCGGTTCCTCGAGAGCCATATCCTGCCTGTTTTCAATCCTTCCCTACTCCATCACACCTGATTCAATTGCTCATGATCTTTTCAGGCCTCTACAGCCCTTGCTGATGAGCTGATCATTGAAATCAGGTGTGTTGGAATAGGCAGGGATCTAAAACAGGCTCTCGAGGAACCGGAGTTCCCTACCCCTGGCGGAGAGGCTCCACTGTCTTGAGCAGTTGTCCTGACATGCTCACGGCATGGCTTTGAAACTAATCATAAAAATTCCACACAAAAAACAAATCAAAACTTGAAGGGAATAATGACAGGGGTAGTAAACTTGACTTGACTTTTGTATTATTTTTTTTTTACCGCCAGGAAACATACCTGTAGCTTGTGTGGCCCTATAAAAGGTATAAACAGTTAGTTTGAATCACAGCAATCGCGCTAGGACACTTGTTGTCATCGTTTTTTTTAAATCGCCACATCAAAAACAGCAACCAAAGCGACTGATTGGACTGTGTTTGTGACAAAACTCAAATTTACGATGTCAGTTTACGAGCTGAGATGTCAAGATTCATTTCTAAAGTGTAACCTCACCAACCTGTCAGGCTCCCACTAGGTCTTAGACAATAGAAAAATACTGTGCCAACAAATGTGATCATCGACCAAGAGATTCGCACTGTGTAAATTTCCTCTTGCCAATGTAATCATCTATTCGGTTCATGCCATCTTATTTTACAAACCATTATCGCTTGGTGAGTCTCTGTTGCCTCGCTGCTATCTACAAGAGAGGATTTGCTTGTGACGTGGTGTCATTGCATTAATTTGCACAAATTACCACATACTCTGGCTACGCTAATAAGTAAATGTTGTGGCTCGCTTCATAATTTAGAGCCTGAGTTAAGATCTGATAATGTAACACAACGCAGTAATACTTGCAACATATTATTTTATTGTCCTCTATTTTGTCGGATTCCAAAGCTGAAACTCATCAAGGCAACAAAAAGTCAATAATTAATTATATTTGGCACTGATAAAGCGCGTGTCAACTAGATCAGTTTTTGAAAGCAGCAGAGGCCCATTTTATCCCTAATTGATACAGCACAATTTAAACTGCTTGTAGATTGTAGCAATAATTCACGTGGCAGCTCAGTGCATGGAACCACCCTACAGCTCTTCGACAACCTGGGCCAGATTTAAACCGTGCGATCGACCGGTAGCATGCGGATTGGTCCCAAGTCGGGTTGTGTCGGGGAAAAATAGAAAAAAAAAAGATCTGTGTGTCTGTTAGTAATATTAGATATTTTTGTGTTAGTGTCCACTGCACCCTAAGCATCCTATCAGTTTCACAAAAAAATATTTAAAAAAGAAAACAAAAGAAAGCTGGTCTCCTTTAACATAGCGCCAGGAGAAACATTTCAAAATGGTACCCGTGATCTATGATCGTGATGTTCTTGCTCTTAAGACGCTGCAAAAGTATGCCCTATGCCTTCGTGTCAGGTCTCGACGAAGGGAGACAGTGAATTCCTTTCCACAAACTCACAAACTTTTGTATCTACTTTAAATTTCTGTTTCGTTCATGTTAGGGGTCGTTGTGGCTGTTGCTCATCATGGCGTGAGTGCGTGCATGCGTATGTGTATGCGTGCACGTGCAGTTGATCGCAACTACTTTTCTCTTGAAAAGTAGATCTTCGGTCAAAAAAGGTTGGGACCCCGGATTGAAATGATGTTCCCGGCTGCCAAGGCATCCCTGTTTGCTGAAGTCCTGCTACGGTGTATCATGGTCTGTTACAAGAATTGTGACATGCCACAGGTGATACTGAGCTGCCGAGTCTCAGAGGCCCAAAGGCTGCACTATGGCTCAGCCTGCAGTCTACCACGTTCTGAAGGGGTCCCTCACGTTTCTCACGTTCTGTTAAGCCTTTCTACCAATGAATCATGGACTCCAGACAGCTTTGGTGAATGTTTGTAGCCAGGGCAGAGTTGCACAAGGCTCAAGTCGAAGTCGGACGATAACTGCTGCTCAGTGTTGTGTTCCAAGTTGCGTTCCACCCTGTTATGTACTGCGTCACCTTTATTGCATGCACCCCATTTAACGACTGTTTTGACAATTTAAACATTTTGCTGGGTTTCCACTACAGTCACTGCTCGTCACGTTTGTCCATCATGTTCATTCACGATGACTCAACGCCCATCCCGTTTCGCCCACAGTGGCTTAAAGTGGGACCACCTGAAACATACGGTGGCGATTGCTATGTGACTAGTGTGATATCAACCAACATGCAATGCATTCAACAACAGAAAATTAACATGGGGAATTAAAGAAAACCGTAGAGGAAATCCATTTTGGGCTATAACGTACTTGGCGACTCCAATTGTACGCTAAGCCTTTAAATTATGCTGTTCTAATTGATTTCCTCTTTGTAGTTTATATTCAGTACAGATCAGTGATTCATACTGTATGAAATGAATCTGTCCCATATCAATAAACTTGTCTAGTAATCTTCGTGTTGTTTTTGGTGTAGCCTTCTTAGTGTGTCTTTGTTAAATTTCCTGTTCCTCTCTGCCTTCTTTGCAAAGGCCGGGCACAGTCATCCGCTTGTTTTGCCCCATGAACTTTGTCAGGCAACAGTTGGCCGCACAAATGTGACGCACACACAAACAATGATCTAATATGCAAGCTAAGATTTAAATTTTAGTTGTGATTTTCATGAACGTCATATTTTTTTCATATGATTTTTTAAAATGCTGTTGGGTGGGAAATCACTATTTTAAAACCACCTCAGACCATCGGAGAGTGCACTTATTTTTTTTATGTGGTTTGCAGCCTTGTAATTGGGTTGTACCACATTTTTTTCCTCATAAAAACACAGCGGCTGCTTATTATACGGCATGCTTTCAGTATTGTATGACATTACTTGAGTTTTGAGACCAACAGAAGGGTGTGCAAATTATTCCTGTCAACATTTTACAAAATCATGTCCTCAACTGTACCAAACTGCATCACTGAATTGCCGCAAGGCTTCATGCCATTATTATTTGAAACACCCTCTCCTCCTAATGATGCATTCATCTGAATGTTAACGCCTCACAGAGACATGTCAGTGAGGGAAGGAAATTGAATACATTTTAAAAGAATGAGTCAATGAAGTGGACAAAAGGGAAGAAGAAAAAGTCTTGAGAGGTTAAGGCCGAAAAGGAAGAGAAACTATTTCAAGGGAAGGGAGTATGTTTAAACAACAGAGTAAACAGAGATGGAGATCATTTGGGAAATTCCAACCGGAGAGCTTCCATGCCACGCACGCACACCCACACCCACCCACCCACACACACACACACACACACACACACACACACACACACACAATGCCTTGCGCATAGCCGCTCAGTGTTAAGGTCAGCGCTACACTCCGTCTCCCCAGGTCATTATCATGGGCCCTAAAATAGACAGCCAATTGTGTCACGGTGTGTGAAGTGAGCGTGACATTGAATAAACAGCCCTCGACCCTGAGCCCCTCGCTCATGTCAGAGCAGAACACATACTTGGAAACCAAACGGAGAAGCTGACACTCACTATCTGCACAACTGGACACACATGTCCACAGACAAATATTATTGTTGCATTTAGGCCTCTGCGCTACCAGCCGGCCATGGCTTATGTGGCCCTGAACGGGGAAGCTGGCTGGTGTGTCTCACGGCGACAAATAGTCAATTCCTTGCATCACTACACACAGACACACACACACACACACACACACGAGCCTGACAATGACCTCTTCTTCCATCTCGTCATTCAGTCTAATGTTGCTCCATTCATTTAGTGTGTTAATGAGAGATACGGTATAGAGGAGCTGGTACTTGTTTGAGGGTGAGAACGGCTTATCACTGGAATGGCTAATCAGTGCTTGTCGTAAATATTGATCAGTCCTGTGTATTATTGACATGTTCATTAACCACTGTGTCATCTTCTCTCCCATTTTTCCATCTTCTTCAACTCCCCCGTGCTTTCCTCCCTGTTCTTGCCCTTCTCCTCATCTCCTTGTCCCCCATCAGCAACCTCCAATGGCACAGTGGAGGGCCTGGAGAACCGTGAGGAAGGCGTTTGCAAGAGCCGAGCCATGAAAGTCATCATGAAAGTCGGACAAGGTAAATGTGTGCGCACCTCCGATGTAGGACACAATGCAGCGCTGATGCCTAACAGCCATGTTTCACTTTGCTGTGACATTTTCATTTATCGCTATGTGTGTCAAGCGTGACTCCGACAAGGCTTCTCCTATTTCATTATTATTTTTTTAAATTATTTTATTCATGCGTCAGTGTGCACACACCAGTCCTGAGAGAGAGAGAAAGAGAGAGAGAGAGAGAGAGAGAGAGAGAGAGAGAGAGAGAGAGAGAGAGAGAGAGAGAGAGAGAGAGAGAGAGAGAGAGAGAGAAAGAAATGGGTTAAAATCTGGGCTTCCTGTGTGGAGTTTGCATGTTCCCCCCGTGTCTGCGTTGCTTTCCTCCCACAATTCAAAAACACGCGTGATAGGTTGATTGAAGACTCAAAATTGTCCATGGGTCTAAATGTTGGTGTGACTGGTTGTTGGCCAATTTGTGCCTTCCGTTTGGCTGGTGACTTGTTCAGGGTGTACCTGAAGACAGCTGGGGTAGGTTTTAGCACACCCTTACCCCTCGTGACGATAAGCAGTCCAGTTAATGGATGGAAAATGTACATTAAATGCAGCATGTCATTGGATGACCTTCATTTTTATGCTACAGTTTCTTCATAAACATTCTGTTGTATGTATTTAAACACATATAACCATCGACGCTCACACTCACACCTAGTGACAATTTAGAGAGTTCCATTAATGTGCCATACATGTTTTTGGAATGTGGGAGGAAACCAGAATTCCCGGAGAAAACCCACACATGTCCGGGGAGAACATGCAAACTCCACATAAGGAGGCTGGAGCCGGAATCGAACCAACGACCTCTGCATTGTGAGGTCGACGCGCTAACCACTCGTCCACCGGGCCACCCTAGCAATATATCTCTCCACAATTATGTTGTTGGTAATGAAAGATCTAAAAATTAATTCGTCAACCATTAATAAGTCACAGTACAAACTTTTTTTGCTTTCGTATTTAATCACACATCATTCAAAAAAACCCTCACTTAGTGCTACAAATAAGGATTTATGATTACTTGCAAGTCACCAACATAACAAATAAATATGCATTTGTGCATAAGTACGATGACTAATTCCAATTAGAGTATATTACACACAGTCGTACAGCAGTTACACAGAAGCAGCTAGCTAGCAAAAGTTTTGGCTGGCTTTCTATTGCGCCTAAGTGCGCTCTGAGGTTGTTCCCATGTTAGTAATCATCGCCTGCATGGCGGAAAATAAGCCACGTTTATGACTGATGTCACATTCACGAAGGGATCATGAGAAAAGACATGATAGCTCTGCTAAATGTCAAGCTAACCGACAATTGACATGGCTAGCACATTTCACACCGCAATTAAGTGCTTGGGTGATTGATGACACTTTTCACAGATGTCTGGCTGAAACCGCCTTAAAGCAGAGAACATACAACTTTGAACAGCCAAAGAGCAGGACAATTATTCAGGGTCTGTATTCTGGAGAGAAAATCATACACGCTTAACTGAAATAGAACTGGAAATGAATTCACTTCTGTTAAGGATGCATGTCAGGCAGGAGGAATGGCCTGTAAGCTTAAAGGTATATTAATGTAGCAAGAAATGTTAATATTTATTTTCACAAAAGAGTCCTGAGTTTTTGACTTTGACTTTTGAGGTCTGCACAATAAATGGATTCCATTACAGCAAAGCTATGTTTTTCTTTAAAATGAATTCCGCATTGCTTCTGGACAAGCAAAGAAAGTTTGCTGTTATACACCATGTAAATTTCAGAAAAAAAATTACTATAAAAAAAAAAAAACAATTGTTCATTCATTATATTGTCAGATTATTATTGTTTAATAAAACCCTTGCTTCAGTTCCCTGGGAAAACTCAACTCTCCTATACATTTTTGTTAATATAAGGATTTCTTTCATGTCCTTTTATGCAACTGAACTTGATTTATATAAAGTTTTCTCAAAACTACCGTGTTTGTGTGTAAGTGGTCAGTGGGAGCCAAGTCAAAATACTGGATGTAAATAATTGAGTTTTGTTTGGATATGTTTGGACACATTTGCTTTGCACCGTAGTTTACTTACAAAGAAGATTTACATATCCTGAATTTGACAGGGTGCCGCACACAGATGTGTAAACACGCAGTGTCTTTATAACATGCACACATGCACACTGTTTACCTAAGGGTGAGATCTTCTGGCAACGATGATGATGATGATTTGCCTGAAAAGAATTGGGACTTGCATGTAAAAAAAAAAAAAAAAAAAAAAAACATGACTGTAAAGTTTATGTGTGTTAGTGCATGCTTCCAAATTGATATTTATATTATATATTTAATTCTGGATAGCAGGGTGAGAGCAGTATATCCTGGCAGTCAAATGGAAAACAGAATCTAATGAGCTGCTGATGTTAGCAAGGTCGGAGTCGGAACAAATTCAGCCGATACAGAGAAAAAAAAAATGCCCACAATCATTTAACAAACATGCAGTCGTTGCATTATTCTTCCATGTAGGTCACTTCAAGCATCCTACAGGCTGAGATCTCACCACCAAAAGACAACACAGCTGCGTGAGTGCAGGCAAGCTGAGCCTTTTAAGGCTTTAGCAAATTTGGGAACTTAATGGAAGTCAGAAGCAAACATCTAACTCAACCGCAGTTCTAGGAAACTTCTTTTGAGTTCATTTGTGTTTACCTCGCTCCGGGCTGTTGCCATCTTCAGTTGAGTAAGCGCTTATTTCACAAAACGACGGTTCAAAGCCGTCTGTCACTCAAATTTTTTTTTTTTTTTTTTTTTTTAATACAGTAGATAACATGCCGAGCCAACCCAGAAACAATATGGCAATGACCTGTGAGTAATTTGTGAATAGTGAATAAATGTTCTCAAATTGTATGACTAAAAAAAAAATGGTTGCATTGCATTTACGGTAACTAACAAACAAACAAATCTGTGAAAGGGTGCATTAGTTAAAGATTAAATTCACTGGGCACCACTTTCTTCCTTTTGGTGGGGAAAAGCTAGCGACAATCAATATTTGTAATGTTACACATTTCGAAAGATAAATTTGAAAATCCAACTTTAGTTCATTTCATTCATTGAATTTAAAGAAAAAAAATGTGAAAAATAAAAATGGGACACTCCCTATTGAATCATTTCTGTTATGTTTAATTGTCAAATGTATAAGGCGAGTTAGACAGACAGCTCCGCCCCACCGCTTCAATGAAGTTAGTTGCCCTGCAGCCAAATCCTGCTGTGTGGTCTGACGTGCTCATTAAACACCGAGATAATGCACTTTCAGTCTGGGTCGTCTTCACTGGAGACGTCAGACTGGAAAGTCTAACCCACTTCCTCAGCCGTGCATTTCGATGCTGTGACATTGAACATTCCAAATTAGTTATGCACATCAAAGCAATTGCACAATTTGTGAGATGTCATTTGTCTTTCTCTGCATTAAAGAAAATAAATGCAGTCGACCTGTTGTTGCTTTATGTCCAAATCATGATTGAGCAGCAGCATTAATGTGTGTGAGGCAGTACACACAAGTCTTTCATGCCACAATTAATGAGGAAGGATTTTCTTTCATTTTTTTCTCATGCTGTTTGCAAAATAATAATGGACTGTTGTGTCAAAGACAGCAAGACTTAAGGAGTAAATTTTTTTCTTCTTTTCTTGTCCAATGGCATCTTGAGAAAAAAAGACTTTTACTTCACACATGACAAGGCTTTTTGACAGATTTTTTTTTAAAGTGGTTATGGGTCAGCGTGAAGGTATATTATTTTCTTAACATCTCTTAATAAATAAAAAATAAAAAAAAAAGCGGAACGTATAAAGAAGTCATTTTCATCTAATTACAAAGCGTTACGTTTAGTACAAAATCCGACTTAATTCTCATAAGATCAGGCTCCACCAAATCATACGAGCAGTTATCTCAGAGCACGTTTGATTTGGGCCAGGGTTTAAACCACGCTTCTATTTTTAAAGAAAGCAAACTAAAATAGGGAGGAAGAAGAAGCAGATGGACTAGGGGTGGGGCGGTCATCTGCCTCCACCGGTTTGTGGATAATTTATGAGCTTGATGTCATCTGTATTTCGAATTTGTTTATAAAATTGACTCAAAGTCAAACTCCCCAAATTGTGGACCGTGCTTGGCTTTGACCCCAGATGTCATTGTGTTTAATCCACATCCCCTCTGTCTCTGCAGCCCAATGCCAACACTTCCTGTAGCCAAATCTCCCATATGTCCACTCCTCCTCCTCGTGCACTTTGCTCTACGGGTTGCGGTTTACTGACCCATCGCCGTGTGCAATATGTGCGTTGTTTTATCGTGGGCCATGTGACGGTGAATCATCCCTGATGAAATGATTCGCGCTCTCAAGTCCTTTTACCTTGAAACGCCTTTGAGTTGCATCTGTTATGTCGTTTCGAAGAGGATCTGTCCAAATTCTGCACCTCCATTGTTGACTATTCTTTTGTGTGCCGCCATCATGCCGCCACACTCGTTGGAAATATGTTGACTCACCTCCTTGCACGCAACCTGCTTCCTCCCTCCTTCCTAGCCCCTGCAGCTTTATCATTGTCTGCCGCAACAACTCCGCGCTCCCCTCCCCAATGTCTCCCTCCTTCTGGCTGCTTGGCACTTCTGAGGTAGTTGCTGTCTTAATAGCTAAGGGAAATGTCAGCGGTACACATGGAAAAATGGGTCAGAACATGCACCAAAGCAAGGCTGCACACGCTCATTGGCTAACGAAAAAGTATTGGGGCAAGTGAATCAGATCAGTGTGTCCCCTCATGTCGACCATGATGTGCGAAGGCTTCCGCTTTGGTGCCGCTGTCTTATCTCATCAATTATTGACACTTCTCCGCGGCTCACGGCGCTGCTCACCAGAACCGCCATCGCGGTGCAGCGGTGGCCCGAGCATTAGGAAGACAAATGTGTTAAGAGTGTTTGCAAACAAAATGTATGCAGCTGCGAGCCAATGTTCCAATTTTTCCTCCTTTCTTGCTTCCCACATTCATTATAGGTCATGCCGAGGCTGGGTGCAGAAGATACACACACACACCATTGCTGCACACATGCAAAACTTGCCTTGAGGGAGTTGCCTGCTCCCAAACACGAGTCCTCACACGTATCCCCTGAGCAGGCCCGAAGCGCATGCAGGCAAACGGCCCAATATTGTAGCGCGCCACCCGTGCGACCGGCCCCGCTCAGAGTTTAGAAGCGTCTGCCGCCCGTGCTCTCGTAAAAGCCAAGCGGCCGACCCACCACCGCTCACCGCATAAAGACTTCAAAGTGCCCGTGTTGAAATCATGACAGACAGACTGATAAACTATCTGTTTCCCTGACGTTCCCCTCGGGGCGACCCCTCCTCTTGCTCGTCTCCCGTTCCTCTTCCTTGCCCTCTTCCTCCTCAAAAGTGTGCCTCTTTTCAGGCAGAGTTAAAGCCGCCGCAATAAATAAGACATATTACGGCCTTTTAACGTGATGAATAATGTAAAGCAATAAAAAGTTAATATATAACTACTTCACCCTCATTCTGCCATGCCTAAGTGTATCGTAAGTAGACTCTAGTTTTGTGCTTTTGTGTGTTCAACCGTGTGTGTGTCTCGTGAATGTCTCAGTGTTGGAAATGTCTGCTGATGTAGATGTGAGCTCATTTTTTTACGACAGGACGGGGATTCTGCTGTTAACTCGTCCTTCCGCTTTTTGTTCTTTCATCGTGACTTCGAAGACGCTCTCAGCCCGTGCAAAGATAACCTTGTCTGTACATGAAAGAAATAACAAAACAACACACCAATGATTCCTTTGTGTAGCAGAGTGTCATTGTAATGCCGCATATGTGCACTGCCAAAGGCTGACTTTTTTTTTTTTTTTTTCCCCCGCAGTTCCAAATGCAGTCAACCCTGCAGTGCCAGAGGATCCAAAAGATAACGCCATACCGGAGTCCAGTCCAAATCCTCCAGACAAGGATCGATTGGGACCTGAGATGCCTGGAAACCCTGGTAAACACTCATTATGTTCTTTAAATAATGTTCCAATGCAAATATTTGATTATAATAAATGTTTTTAAAGAATACGCGTTATGTTCAATTAAGAAAATATATGTAAAAAAAAAAAAAAAAAGATCGCAGCCTACAGGGTACCTCTAACACATTTGTAACAAAGCTTAGTTGTCAGTGCTAGCATTCCAGATATTTGGTTGTGTGTTGCAGCTGTGTCAAGCTAACTGCACTTCATCACACTAAGGGCCTAATTTTCGACGATGACAAATTGCGGGCGCTAAATTGTGCGCTTTGTTGGTGAGCGTATCGCATGTGATCTACGACTACTACACTTGAACTAAGATCCCATATGAGAAGCAGATGCTAAATTTGCAAGATCACTTTTGAACAGATTGCCCAAAAGTACTGAGGTTGAGCTGACGACAGGTTTCACCATTGAAAATGTTGCAGCGCACCGCGAGTTCAAAATAAAATTTGAAGTGATGGAATTGGAAGTGATAGTGGGAAAATCCAGCTAACAGTTTACTGAGTTACTGAAAAAAAAACAAATCCAACAACAGCATGTTTCCTTTGAATTTGATTGCCCTGAATGTCCCACAATTGGACAAACAGGTATGTGCCTATTCTGTAGGGCTCCGTGATTTTGGGAAAATATGTGAAATGGGTGTTGAATACTGTGATATTGAGAGATTGAGTCATTTTACATGTACCTAAGAAATTACATTTTTTTCTGTCCAATGAAATTTTTTTTCCATGCAGCAAAATATGCAGTTTTACCCTCAAGGTTGCATCTGATTTGTCAAAGTCAGATAAAGGCACACAATCCCATATGAAATGGATTGCACGCCTTTGCAATACGCATATTGCACAGGCCATTACCTCGATGGCAATATCTTTTTCCGATATATTGCGCAGCCCTCCCATCCTGTATAACGCTGGGCAGCTACACGAGGAAAACCGCTCTGGGAAAGGCCAGCACTGTGCGCTGAACTGGCCCAGATGCAAAGAAAAATCGAGTTGTCAAAGGTGCCGTCGCTAAAGTAAGCTCCTTCCGCTACCAGAAGCGGTACACTTTGTATTTCAGAAAAAGAGCATCATATAGGAACCGTGGAAATACTGGCAACTTCTCAGAGCTGTTGGGATCATTTTTAAGTGAACTCATTTGATTATTGGTCAATGTGTATTTGGTTATTATTTGTCACACTCAAAGTGTTAAGCCCCAATATATATTTAATCCCCTATTGCTTTTTTTTTTTTGTGTGTTTTACTTTAAAAGAAACATTTTTCTCATGCACCTCCTGGTATATTTGTTTTACCTTCATGACAGGGGTCATGTTTTGTATTATTCAACTATTCATTTTAACGTATGTTAAATTGATATTAACATTTGACTTCAGTTTGTATTTTTGCTGTTTAAAATAAAATGACATATTCCAGTATTAACGCTCGTGGTTGGCCGAGCTCGATAAATGGACCTTTAATTTATTTAAAAATGTATTTGCAGCCCTTTGGGATTTATCATTTTTGCTGAATGGATGCGATTTCCCCATAATTTTTTTGTGGGCATTTCAAAAATGTTTACACATGTGGAAAAGTTTCTGCCTGCCGCCTCTCATTCTCCCTGTGCCATGCTGGCACTGCTTTGCTCCTGCCTTTTAGAAGTGCTGTATAAAGACACAAAATCAGCCGGCACTTTTCATCTTAGGTTTGAACAATCACATCTAATTAATTAATATAGTCCTACCAATGAGTAAAATGACTTGAGCAATTTAGCAGTGGTTGGCAGATACAATCCTAGTGCCCATTTAGTAGACCAGCTTCTATATTTTTGCACATACAAACTTTTAGTGTGTGTGTGTGTGTGTGTGTGTGTGTGTGTGTGTGTGTGTGTGTGTGTGTGTGTGTGTATGTATGTATGTGTGTATATGTGTGTACGCACATCTCACAGACCCCATTTTGAGAACCACCGGTGGACAGTATATGTGCATGCGTGTATGTGTGTGTCATGCCCGGAAAGGCTTGAAGCACAAGCGGTCATTAGGAAGTCAGGCCTTCTGGAGTGTATTACGGGCTGGTTACTGTAAAGCCTTAAAAGTACAACCTGTTATCACCATCAAGGCTATGCAGGCAAGAGGTAACGATGGAAATAAAATAAGCGTGCGACCAGCCTTGAAACGGCAGCCGCGTTCTTGTGCCGTTGACGACGTCGTCTCATACATTCGTCTGTCAATCACGTCGGACGTACGCACGGGGAACGCGGGTGGGCTTGGCAGTGAGCGCTTTGCAGCACCATCAGAAGTATGCAGAAGTAGGCAAACAAACAAGGGTGCACCCGGAGACCCCATCTGCAATTTGTATCTTCGGCTCCGTAAAAACAGACATTTCTCGGTTTTGTTTGGCAGGTCGAGGAGGCACGGACGGGTTGAGTGGCGAGAACCCAAAAGTAACGTGGACAAAAAGAAAGGGTTGGATGATTTTGCCTTGAAGTAAAATTGCAGATTCTATTCACAAAAATGAGATTTCCCCTCTTTGCCCCAAGACAAAAACAAAAATGACAATATTCTTATTATTTTTTCAAAAAAGTTGCGATTTGGGTTTGGCTCCCTCAGTTTCCTTCTAAACAAGTAAAACGCATGCTTTACTGGGTTTAAGTCAGAAACCTTTCTCTCCGTGCACCAGCCAAGCACTGAAGTCCGTTTATTTTGGGAGTTTACTCTCCTGTTTATTTTCGCTTCAGTCTCTCTCCTAGCAGGTAAAATGCTTGCTTTGTCTGCGGCGTTTAAATCAGGAGATTGACAGCTTTCCCCTGTAGTGCACTGGCCAACCACGAACGTCAACTGGATTATAGTCTCGTACAATTTGAAAAATAGTTGAATTTTAATGTCAGCCTGGTAAAATGGTATCTCTGTTGCAGTATCAGAGCATTTTTACGAGTATGAGCATGAGCAGATGCAATATTGGCACCGATGGTGAGGAATATTTTAGTTTTTTTTTTGGTGGTTGCCCCCGCGCGTCTCTTGCAATGATTCTTGTGACACTAAACAACCTGAAACAAGTTTTTTACAGCATGAACTTACATATATTTCCACAGACATGAAATAATGTATTTTTTTTACAGATATTCTTCGTAAGACTGTTTCAATTCAATTTCACAGTGTTACTGATAAGGCAATGATAGCTTGTTAGCCATGATGCTAACATCAAACAACAACCTGAGGCCTTTTTGATTATTCTGAGTGATTGTTGAGAGAGAGAGAAAGGAAAAAAAAAATTCACCTTGCCTGTTTTCGACTTATTTTGATTTAGCAGCTGGTAGAGCTGGAAGTGATTGCCTGCCTGGTGCCCACACCTGTTTTCGTTTACAACGACCGGTTAGTTGGCGGTCGATGGTTTCCATCAAGACTTTAAAAATGTCATCGATAAAACAAAAGCAAATGAGTTTGGTTGTGAGATTAAAAATGGGACTTTTTTTTTGGAGAGCCCCCCCACCCCCGTTGAGTACAGGTGCATCGCCTGTGAGATGGGAGAAAACAACACAAAAACAAGGTTCAGAGAGAGAGAGAGACAGACACACACCACACACTAAAAATAAAGCCTGCTCTCAAAACTGCTTCAACCTAATTGGATTTCCAAAACAAAAGTCAAAATGAAAGAAAACAAAACTGTCATGAAAAATCCCAAACTATTAGAACGCTGGTCCCAACATGACATCATCACAGGGCCACCGTAATTGTTTGAATGGGGCGGTAGGAAATGGTGAGATGAGTTCACAACGGGCGCCACGCGTCAAGTCAGCGTGGGCTGTACCACTTGAGCTTGATGAATTCTTATCACGTGAAAAGAAGGGACGCACCACGGCACTGCGGTCGGTCGGAGTCTGCAGCTGGGACAACAAAGTGACGACAGGGGAGAGGCTGCTGCTCAACCACTCCTGTTCTTCACCCTCTTTTTCATCGCATTTTCTTTTTTTTTTTTTTTTTTTTTTTTGTTTTAAAGCAGGTGAGCTTTGAGCTCTGCTATCCCACAGGAAAACATGTTCTTTTAGGGACATCATGCTGTTTGTGTTTTCCATCAGCAGACTGCAGCTTCACACTGACTCAACCGTTGAAAAGACCAACTCTGTTGGCATTTTAAATGCTCTGAGCAAAAGACACAAATGACAGGAATCATTCAATGCTGAAAATTAGAAATAGTTCAATAAGTCTATGTACATTCTGGTTCACAGATTGGGGTATCATGTCAGCTTCTCTGCAGAGCAAAGAAATAATATTCTTCACCAGCGAAGGAAATTGAATAACAAGCCAAAGAATAGGATTGGGTATTCAAGAAATGTACTTACCTAACCGAAATCTATCTACTGAGCCATCTAATATAGAAAAATCACCAAATTTGGCCCTACCGTAAAAGGTTGAGAACCTAAGTCAGAGCAGTTACCTGATGTGAGCCTCTGCTTTGGTGGCTGCCTGGTTGTACTCTTCAGCCGTCTGCTTGTAAGCTTCAAGATTCTTGAGGCAAAGACACAGACATAAAGAGGTGTGAGAAACAGATTACACCCGGGAATATGAAATTACTGTTGATATTCTGCTTCTGAAATCACCGTTGCGTACGCAGCTTTTAATAATGCAACTTCTATTGCACATAAGAGAATATTACCGTACGTGTTTAAATTAAAATGAATGAAATGACAATTGGTTTTATGATATAATTTAATATTTGAGCACTAATAAGGTAACAAGATAAGCGAAATGCTAACGCATCCTGAAAAATGTCAAATGCTCCCTAAATTGGAGACCTTTGAATCCACAGCAATACCAGCAAACGGGAATGCCGATGGCCAGCTGATGGGCCACAATGCTTTGTTTCATGTTGGGAGAGTGGCATTTAAACTGCAATTACTGCACAGAAAGAGCTTATGCCATGCGGGCAAGGTCATACGCAGGCCTCCTCGACGGGAGTAATCAGCGGTTGCAGCGTTTCATGTACTACATTCGAACCTTAAA